TCCTGAGGTTACTGGTTTCATGAGAAAACTTTCTCGTTGTGACAGTTGTTAACACATATATCGTTAATGTCTAACTGACAGCGTTTTCAACATATTTTTGAAGTTTCCTGTAATTCTTACCAGTTGTTAAAGTATGAATGCTTCACCTCATACACCAAAGGTATAATAATGGGCCACATCTTGAAGTATTTGGGAATAATTTAATGTATTAATACTATGATAGCACCTTTTTATCCATGATGGGATATGAATCATTTAGTGCGTTTTTGGTGTTGATCTCTGTTCATACAAGTCTTTAAAGTCACTCAAAAATCCTCAATTAACAAAGCCAAGCAATCGCATTTGGACTCTGTCATTACAGGAGCAAATGAATAATCAATGCACGTTAAAAGCATTAGAAAGTTGAGCCATTTTGTGTCCTCAGGTGGAACAAAGTTACCAATTAATAGTGGTAGAAAACCTGCGAAGCAACACATTTGAGATGCTATGTATATGTAGATAATTTCAAGCATTAATTAATTAAGTAATAATTTTACCTGATTGAGATAGAGTGATTTCTTTTGATATTTCAGTTATTTACGATGGCTTACTTTTGGTATTGACATGACCATAAGCAAATGATTTAATTCTGTCATTTAGTTGCTTGACTGAAAACAACTTTTTCATGTAAACAAGATCCTTTAACATTTCCTTAACTAAATGCAGTGATCCTTCAAGATGGCCATGCATTACATGAATAGGTAACCCCGTTGCTACATGAAAGAATCTCATAGTGTTTAAAATGCTATTCCGAACTATTCCATATGTAGTCACTACATGATAATGCAAAACACCTCCTAAATCTCTACAATTGGAGTTATATGTGTTTATAGTTTGAAGTTGAAAGTCTTGTTCTGAAAACTAAGGGGCAATTATTAGTATAGTAATTCTAAATATACATGTACCTTTGTCTGCATGTCGTCATCAACTGCCATTAAAAAGCGACATTTTCTGAGTGCTGCATTTGATGCTTTGTAGCCACCATGTAGTTGTGCTGATAAATTGCCAGCTGATATAATTGTAATTGTTCCTCTCAATGTATATGTTTCACCATCAATCTCAAATTTCACACCATCTTTTTAATAATTTTAATGATAACATCATTTCATGATATCTTACTTCTTCCAAACGTTTTACAGATTCCACTATTGGTTCAAGTACGGTATCAATTCCATAATGGACAATATCTCTATACTTGCACACAGTAAGTAACTGAATACTGTTTAGTGCTGATCTCAGTCTTGGTGGAAGGTTACCAAGAGTGTAATAAAATAAACGTATACAAAGATAAAAGCACAAAATGTGATAATAAAATGCATGAAGAAATTCTTGAACTGTATTAATTTTATTACCCACATATACTTATTATACATTTACCCAATTTATGAACTCTTCTGTGTGATCCAGTAGGGTTGCATATCTTAGCTTCATCACAATACAGCTGTATTTGTAAACCACAAGGATCAACTGAATAATGGTTGAGCTTTGAACAAAGAGCCATCAAAGAAGTCACCAAGTAGTCCATTTTCCATTGCATGTGAGGAAAAATGTACTTGTACATGTATAATAGGTTTACATACATTTACATGTATACAGTGATTTGTACTGTGATTTGTGAAGGGAATTTTTCTGGTGAAAAGTTTACATGATCATTCACATTAATTTGCCAAATCTTCCCTCTGTATACGGTACAGGGAAATTTACACAGGTAAGGTTTTAAGTAAATAAATAAAAGGTCATAAATGAAATGAAGGAAAAGTAGTTACTATGTGTTTACCTTTAATATTATACATGTAATGTACACTGCATGTGCATGCCCTTACATAGTCTCTTATAACGTTAGAAGGTAGAAGCTGCTGTAAAGATTCCAGAAGTGGCATGTCACAGCAAATGTCTTTCATGTCGTTTCACTGACCATTTATAGTTGCAAAAGTAGTACCCAGAACTCTTCTGTTTGGTTCCTATTTTGAAAAAAGTGACCACAGAAATTGATTGTTTTAATTAAGTTGATTATTTATTTTTTGATTGTCATGCATTTCTTACAATATAATTCAGAGTTTCCTTGAAATATTTTTATCGCAGATGATCTGTTTCCCAACCTTGAAAAGGATGAGCATTCTTTGATGGCAGGTCTTCAATATCAAAATCGCTGTTTCCGTCTTTTCTCATGTGTTGCTGAATCTTACTTAATGATAAATTCCACAGAGCCTGCACATTGCCAATGATACCATTTAATGTTGTATGAGTTACTTTTCTTTCTTCCAATGTCTTTTGTTGAAATAAAGCAGATGCTAGTGTAATTTCATCGTGCCCACAAACTGGTTGCGATGCTCCGGCAATTTCTTCTCATGAAGGTGTAAGCATGCCAGTAACAGTACCATCTTCCATGTCTATAGATATAATATGATCCCTTGAAATACCAGACTGTTATGAATTTATATGCGAATCCTGAATGTAATAAACATCATGATACTTTCTGTATACATGTGTCCGAAAGGATTCATAAGTAGTTGTAGTATAGGTTGCTGGACTCCCATCAATACTACATTCAATCCTGGTTACTCCAAACCTGTGCACAGAACCAATATGGCTCAATACGGGAAGATAAGTCCTAGCAGCAAACTGAGAACAGACAGTACATACAAATACCATGTTGTTCCATTGCTAGGAAACATGAAACCCCACCTACTTTAATTAGTGCAGCCTGACCAATACAGCTGCATGCAAGAACTCATTGCTCCACTCTCTTCTCTTTAGCACTCTTGAACCACTCAGTAGCTGGTAATTTAGCAGTAATTTTATTTATTAGATTTTGTGAATACTTCGTATCAGTGCCCTAATTTAGACATTTTTCTCGTATAGCATGGATTTTTACACAAAAACTGTTCATCAAGTTACCAGCTGGCTAAGAACATTGCCAAGTTTGTGTATCACTGATGAAGTTATCACCTCATTTCAAGGTGTAACGTATTAATGGGAATGATTTACTTTTTCCATTTTAGAAGCAGATATGGATGGTGCTGCTATAGCAATGGCCATTTTGTTGGTGCTGATGCCTTTCAACCTTTATTATCATCTCCATGCAAAAAATTAAGGGTATATGAAGCTATAAAGGAGGTAACGTACCAATAATCTAGTCAGTCATCATATTTTTATAAAAATTCTTCAAATATATTTGTCCAAAATAATATAAATTTTGAAAATGAAACATTTGCCACAAATTTTGTGAACCATTTTGTACACATACTTTTAGAATTATACGTTATACATTATTATATTATTATTAAACTTTATACATGTTAAATTTTTAAAAATGTATGTGTTGAATTTAGGTAGACACCAACCAAGCAATTCAAACACTTCATGATGTAGACATAGATTTGGTAAATGACATGTAATTTTTTCATTATCTATAAAATATTATTTTTTACAGCATTGACAATGAATCTTGTGTTGAAATGTCTGATATTAATGTAAGTATATCAGTATGTAAAAATGATTTACATTACACTACATGTACATTTTTTAGGATACCAAAGATGCAACTCTTGAAATGGTGAATGCTAATGTAAGCAAAGAACTGCCACTTGATTATTACAAATTTATAGCATTAAGAAGAAACAAGTACATCAGATTATATGAAACCTTCTGGGGTTGTAGCTGTGAAGGAATGCTCAACAAAGCGTAAACAAGAGAAACTACTTCCAAGGCCATTCCACTTACCTGAAAACTGTTTCTTTTGTTAATGAGGTATTGAAGAATAAGGTTCTGATTGGACAAAGTTTATCACTATAATATCTGCAAGTATTTTTTACTTCCAAAGTTATCCTACAACTGAGGAATATGAATACATTGCAAACTTGACATTTAAGAGTTGGCCCTTTCTACAATCTCGTAATGGAAATGTACGTTATTTGATTGTTTTTTTAATATTTCATTTCATGATTTAAACAAAAGTTCATGGGTCAAGCTTTGAGAGATAGAATGAAGTACCTCATAGGAACATCTGGAAGAGTACGCATAAAAATGAAGACCTCCATTGGCGAAAGTGAAATGCCTTCAAAACCATTTGCATTTCACCATCACCAAAATTGTTTTCAGAGTTTCCTCCACTTGAGATTGATAAGGAGAAGACAAGGTATGTCTTGAATAACATGTGAAAGTTTACGTAAAGAGTGTCAAAAGATCAATCCTAACTCAAAAGTTAAGAAAAATTAATGCAGCATACTTTTACACTTAGATGCACTGAGATATTGACAAATCAAAAACCAGTGAAGATAGTCCTAAGTATGTATTTACCTCTAAAAGAATATCTTGACGTACATGTAGCTATTAATCTTAAACAATGTACACTGATTTTATTTTCAAATATAGATCCAGAGAGAAATGAATAAAATATTCAATCAAGAAATTACAGCAATAATGGCTAAAGTGTGGATGGAAATGATTGATGCTGTTATCTCTTCCAGAGAAGGACAACAATGCTGAGAAAATGTTTCTATTTCTCGATAAAGAAATGCCTGAAGGTACCAAAATAATCAAAATTAATTAGTTTGCATACTATCAACTTTAGAAGGACGTTCATTACTTGCATTGATTGCTTATATTATATGCTACCAGACACCTAATCTCAAGCTGATTGCTCAAAAATTGTCCAGTAATGTATGGTAATCTAAAAGTAATGCAAAACAATAATAATAATAATTATAAAATGAGTCTACAGAGTCTGCTGCACAAAGAGTTTCATTGCTTCAGCCTTGTGTTCTTTTTCAGGGTACCAAAAACTTCCGCAATGCATCTAAAGTGTCTCATCATTGCAAAATCTGTTTATTGCAAGATACCTGCAGCTGAAGCTCCTGTGGCACTAATGATTGCCTTTTATGTGTACAATATACAATACACTGTAGGATGTAGCAATCTCTATAGCATATTAGAATGTCTCTTTGGAAAGAAACCAGGAATAAAAAAGAAAAGTGTCATCAGTCTTGGCCCAGCTGCTTCCTGAAAAAAAAGAAAAAGCATCTACTTACTAGACTAACATTATTAGACATAACTCTAATAACTCCAGTATTATAGTATTAATTATGCATTCTGTTGTCATAGTAACAAGTCATTTTTAATCCTTTTCCTTACACAATGAAATTTATAAAAATTAGTCTTTAGGACGTTTTGAATTATACATGTTGTCAAGGAAACCCCTCAAATTAGGTGCATTTTTTGATGCCACACCCCTTGACCATGCCCAAGCAGCCATTTTGATCGTGTTTCATAGAGTATCTTTGTGCCTTTCAAGAGCTCTCAGTAGACCTGCAAATTCTATTCCATTCACTTAAAAGTGCTCCAAAGCACCTAAACTGCTTGCACCTACATAGATTTTAGCTGCTGCATTTACTACAACCAGTTTCATTGCTTTTACATACTTCATTTGTGTCAGATTTCATTCAATCAATGATTCAACCAATATCATCAACGATAGTCAATTTCTTGCAAAAAAGTGTTGAATAGCAATTACATCAAAGTCAGGGGCGGATCTAGAATTTAATTTTTGGGGGGGCAATTGTGAGATGGGAGGGGTAATTAGGGGGTGTGGTCAACTAAACTTGTGCAAAACTTTTTGGGAAGTAAAAATTATGAAGACTAAGCCTGCTAAAATGAGCTCCTTTGTGGTTTAAAGATTGTTTACATAGTCCAGTACTGCAGCTGCTTCACAGTTTTCATAGGTAAACCTAAGTTTATATTACTCCAGAAAATTTTTGGGAGGGCATTGCCCCCCCTGGCCTCCCCATAGATCCGCCACTGATCAATGTGCCGACAAAGCATTCTTTCACTTTTCTATTGTTTCCTATGGTTTCTATTTTACCACTAATATTATTCATTACCAATTTCTGCCAAGATGGTGTGGTTTAGGTGTGGTTTCCTGTAAAACACACGTGTTTGCTCTAAAAAATGGCGTAGTAATTGCTTTTTTATTAATAATTATTACCTTTTTGTAGTTCTAAAACAAATTGTCAGGTAATGAGTTAAATGGAGACCTGTCTAGTCCAAATGACTCCAACCACTACCAATGCTCTAGTAAGTCAAATAAGTGCAAATTGACATGAATTTCATTTACCTGCTATCTCCTAAATTATTGCTAAATACTCTCCAAAGTGGTGAAAGTCCTCACTACAGTATGACCTAGAAACGAAACTTGACAAGAATAAGATAACAATGCTTATGAAAAATCACTACAAAAACCTTCATTGGGACCTGTGATAGTCTTCGAAACAACCTGACCTAAATAAGAGAACATGGCAACATGAACATGCAAAAGAAGTATAACTACGTTGACCTTCTGGCTTTGTGCTAATACAGTGACACCTACCTCTCTTTCACCCTACCTCGGTAGCTTTTCAAATGTGATATTCAATGGAAGGTACCTATTGTTGTCTCTCAATACCTCTAGATCTCCTTTGTCTCCCTTGATAATTGTCAAGAAGTGTATGACAAAGTTTAATACAAAATTCTAACAAATTCAATGGAACGAGCCCCTTGCTTTTGTATGTAGCTTTGTGAATAATGTAAGCATCATTGATTGCCAAATCAAAGAAACAGCAGAACAGATGAATCCATGATCTTTTGGACTTTCTATCATAGCCATATGTTCTCCAAAGCTGATCAGTGAGGTCAACTCCACCAATAAATTTGTTATAAGCAGGAAGGAGAGGTGGGATACTCTGATAAGCAAACATGCCATCTAATTGCATACATGGCACTTGATGAGGCATTGCTTCTGGAAAAACATTGCTAATAAAACGAACTAATTTAAAACAAAGTACACAATATTGTTGCTACATACTCACCCTTGGGCAGTGTGACATTTTTTAGCTCATTTGGAAAACCATTTGCATTGGATTTTGTTGTTCCTACTGTGTAAATTTGTTGTTGGGCAAGTTCCTGTGTAATATTGCTGCTAGTATAAAAGTTGTCCATATAAACTACATGATTCAGTCCAGTGAAACTAACTAAAAGATCACCAACAACTCTCTTTACTAGTCCATGTTCAGACACTTTCTTACCTGTTACTGGATGGACTGACATACCATCATACACCTGAAAAGTACACCAGTAACTTGTTTTAGCATTTGAGCAAGACCAAACCTTGAATCATTTTTTAGTGCGTTTTTTGGGCATTTTAACATTCCCACTGCTCCTACCTTTGTACTTAACCATGGCTTCATCTAATGAAAGCTCTTGACCAGGATTAAAATGGGCCAAATATGTATGACTTAAAACTTCAACTACAGGCTTGAGCTTCTAACTCAGGCTTGATGTTTTCTCTACACTGCAGTTATCTACCAAATGTATGTTACCTCTAATTGCCCAAAACGTATTATGAGACTCTTTTTAACAGATTCAACACCAAGTAAAGGGTCAGAGCTCCAGTAATTGTCTATTTTAGGCAAATGATGAATTCCCATCACTACAGTTATCCCTAAAAATGCCCAAACTTCAGTAGTTACAATTTTTCCACTTCCTAATTTTACGATGTACAATGGCATACCTGTTAGTTTCTTTGGCTGTCAACTCACATAATGAATCCGGCCAAAAAAGTTTGACAAGATCAAAAGGACTCATAGAATGATCAACAACAGGTGATGGACCTTCCAAACCTTTAAACTCTGGGTATCTTCCAGATTGAAGAGAAACATCAAGTGCATAAGCACTCACTTTCTTCTTAAGCTTTAATGTACAGGGAAGACCATCAAAATCCTCACCATCAATAAAAGTAGACTCCTTTTCTTCTTCCTCCTCCTTCTTCTCACTGTCACTGCTATCATCATCTTCAGAACTTTCATCAGATGGAGAACACCTACATGTACAGTACAATTAGACGGTATGAAATTCAAATTATTGCTTAAAAATTGAGTATTTAAATGAAATTAATGACTAGGAGGGGCTAGCACAATTGGAACGAGTTCGTTTACTTAGGGGGGACTGGGTATTACTAAATTCAAGCAAAATTAATAATATTCATAGCCCTAAACACTAATTATTGCCCAAAATTCCACTTTTTAAATTAAATTCACAACTGGGAGGGACTAGCACAATCAGAATTGGCTCGTTTCGTTACTAGAGACTAAAACAGACTAGATTCAAGCAACATTAATGATATTCATAGTCCTAAACTCTAGTAATTGCCCAAAATGCTACTTTTTGAATTAAATTTACGACTGGGAGGGGCTAAAACAATAGAAACGAGTTTGTTTAGTTACTAGGGACTAAAACCGACTAGATTAAGGGAAAATTAATGATATTCATAACCCTAATGACTAATTATTGCCCAAAATGCCACTTTTTGAAATAAATTCATGATTGGTAAGGGCTAAAGCAATGGGAACAAGTTTGTTTAGTCACTAGGGACAAAAACCGACTAGATTCAAGCAAAATTAATGATATTCATAGCCCTTAACTGTAATTATTGCTTAAAACTCCACTTTTTGAATTAAATTGACAAGTGGGAGTGGCTAAAACAATTGGAACAAGTTTGTTTAGTTATTAGGGACTAAATCCGACTAGATTTAAGCAAAATTAATAATATTCATAGCCCTAAACTCTAATTATTGCCCAAAATTCTACTTTTTGAATTAAATTCACAACTAGGAGATGTTAAAACAATTGGAACAAGTTCGTTTAGCTACCGGGGACTAAAAGCGATTAGATTCAAGCGAAATTAATAATATTAATAGCCCTAAACTCTAATTGTTGCCCAAAATACCACTATTTTAATTAAATTCACGAAGTGGAGGGGCTAAAACTATAGGAACGAGTTCGACAATTATAATGACAATTATGATACTGTATTGCTTGTAGTATTTATGTTGTATTGTGTGATGTCGTTAAAGTGTAGTATTGTAGTGTTAAGTGGTCAATATTTTTTCTGACTTGGTATCAAGTAAGTTTTTATATTCAGTGTGTTTTTTGTGTGATTACTTACTGCTGATTTTCAAAGTAGTCTTGTATAATGAGTGGGTGTATCAAAGGCACCACCTATGCTACAAGTGTGATGTATCCCTGTGGTTTTTACAAAAAAATTTTTATAAAATAAAATATACAAAGCAACATATTGGACAGCTAAATAAGCTGGAATTCAATTCAACTGTCAATGAAGTCTGGGCTTTTGCCTGGGAGCTTGCGGCAGAAACCGACAGGTTCACAGCCAGGGAATAGGGAGTCTCCGGAGTCCAGACAACTTTAGATCGACACACAGACCAATAATCCATGCATGTAGAGTTCACTGCTCTCCTTCCATGTTCAAATCAATGGTTGTCTTAACCTTAATGGCTAAATAAGATGGCCAGGCAAAGTGAGATCAATACACGGGCCAGATGGCAAGCACGGGATCTCTGTTCCTGACCTAAATTATACTCTTACAGATATTATAGCCTGAAAATAGATTAGATATGTCAACCTAAAGCCTAAATCTGTTGATAAAGTACCTTTTTCTGAGCCTCCTGTCCTCCATTGCTTTCATTTTGTTGTAGTGCTACTGAGCATGTGCATTGGCGCACGCGTTTGATACGCCTACTCATTATTACACAAATATGTTGATAACACCCCCGTTGCGGGATGCATCAAATTTGTATGACCTCGCCCTTGGGCCTGTGGCCCTCTGGCTTGGTCACACAAATGCGATGTATCCCCAGTGGGGGTGTCATTATGTTTACTTGTATAATAGTGAGTGGGCGTATCAAAGGCACCGCCTGTGGTTACAAATGTGATGTAACACAGCTTTCATTTGTAACACTCCCTGTGGTTTTATTTGTAGTCCTGTGGGTTGACAGCAAAAATCTCTTAAAATAAAATATAAGAAACAACATTATTGTACGTCAACTGTCAATAAAGCTTGCAATAAAGTCTGGCCTAGGTCCAGTGGCCCGCGGGAACGGACAGCGGGTACAAAGTCGGAACAATTGAGTCGCGGGAGTGCAGAAAACTTCTGATCGATTCACAGAGTAATAATTCATGCAGGCAGAGTTTCACTGCTTTCCTTCCGCGTTGAAATCAATGGTTAACCAAGCCTCAACAGTAAATATAGAAAGCCGGGGAAGGTATGATCGATACATGGCCAATCAGCAAGCGCAGGATCTCTGTTCTGGACCTCTTCCAGACATTATAGCCTGAAAATAGTAAGATTATATTAATCAGTTGGTAAAAGTACCTTTTTGTGAGCCTCCTGACCTCCATTGCTACCATTTTACCACGAGGTGTGGTGCTACTGAGCATGCGCATTGGTGTGCACCTTTGATACGCCCACTCACTACTACACAAATATGTTGATAACACCCCCGCTGCGGGATAAATTGCATTTGTATCCCTAGCGGGGGTGTTATAACGTTTACTTGTAGCATCTCTAGCTTGTAATGTTAGCCTTTCTACCTTGCTCCTTGTGTAGTACAAGGTCAATTTGCCTTGCCTTCTCCATACTTCTACAGAGATAGTGATGGTTTATAGTCCCTTGTAACCATGGTAAGATGCCTATCATTGCCATGACGCCCCGCTTACCTCCGTGTAATGGCCCATTTGACGAACTCCATGCACTGTAATGGTTGGAGGATCTAGTATCTTCTTTCTCAAGAACTGCAAGGAGTATAGCAGCGTCTTTGGCATCAAATGATAGCTTATGGTCTCTATAATCACTTAGTGCAAAAAGCTATTTTTTGACCAACAACGAGCGAGTTGACTTATTATCACTATACTGATAAATTTAATAATGCGCCATAAGGGCCCTTTTGTCAATTATGGTCACATTTATAATACACGTGGAAGTATAGAGCTAAAATAATTTTTTGTCCTGGAAAAAAAATTTTGTTACAGATCATCGTCTGGAATCAAATAGTTCACACAGGAGTTCATTACATTTCATAATCACAATGTACTACCCTTCACAAGACACCTAAGTACATCTCTATTTACTGGTTTCTTGGATATTGTAATTATAAGTACATTCCTTAGGTTGGATAGTGTATCATACAATTTTAACAAAATAAAAATTAATTAAGTATTAAGAAGGATAAGTATTAAATGGTGAAGTCCAATGGCAGTTTTTTACGCTTGAAAAGTACCAGGGAAATTACATCGCAGAGATCAGATATCCCTAAGGAAGAAAATAATGTTTATTATTATTATTATTATTAACTTAACAGTACAAGACAGATATAGGCAGACTAGAGAAAAAGGACAGAGGGTACACTGTTAAAACTGAGGTGTTGGCATACACTCGTGGGTGTCACAAATTTGGGTGTTGTTTACTATAGGGGTGTTGAATCAATTTAGCTTGGTGTTGTTCTATTGAAAGAGGGGTGTTACTACAACACTACAACTTGTGTCAAAGTTAAAGGATAGCCATCACACCCTTACAGGTGTTGCAATAACACTGTATTTAATACAGTGTACTGAAGGACAGCAACAACATGTGTTGCAGCCTGAAAAAAGGAATGAAAGTAAATAAATAAAATGAATAAGTGAATTAAGAGTTTGCATGAGTGATTATTGGAGATGACAGGAAGTACAGGGACAAATGTAGTAGAATGTGCAAGGAGAATCAG